ACAACAAGCAAGGGGGAAGCAACCTAAATGTCCATCAACAGATGAGTGGGTAAGCAAAATGTGGTCTATCCACACAATGCAGTATTATTCAGCCTTTCTTGGACTTCCCTGGTGGCGCAGTGGTTAAGAATCTGCCTGCCAATGCAGGGGACACGGGTTCGAGCCCTGGTCCGGGAAGATCCCACATGCCATGGAGCAACTAAGCCCGTGCGCCACAACTACTGAGCCTGCACTCTAGAGCCCGCAAGCCACAACTACTGAAGCCCTCACACCTAGAGCCCGTGCTCTGCAACAAGAGAAGCCACCACAATGAGAAGCCCGTGCGCCACAACGAAGAGTAGCCCCCGATCACCACAACTAGAGGAAGCCAGAGCCTGGCAACCAAGAGCCAATGCAGCCAAAAATAAATATTAAAAGAAAAAAAAATACATTCTGACACATGCTCCAACATGGATGGACCTTGAGGACATTACATTAAGTGAAATAAGCCAGACCCAAAACAACAAATAAAGTATGATGCCACTTATACGAGGTAAACAAAGTGGTCAACCTCATAGAAACAGAAAGTAGAATGGTACTTACCAGGGGCTGGGGAGGAGGAAAGGAAGCTGTTGTTTAATGGCTATGGAGTTTCAGTTTTACATGATGAAAATGTTCTAGAGACCTACTGCACAACAATGAATACAGTTAAGACCACTGTACTACTGTAGACTTACTTGAAAATGGTTAAGATGCTAAATTTCATGTTATCTGTGTTTGACCACAAAAAACTGTAATGATGAAAATGATGATGATAGTTTCCATAACTAATACTTTCTGAACACTACATACATAGTTCCCAGACCCCGGGCTACATGCTGACAGATACCGTGTTTGATGGTTTCAAAAACCCCACGAGATGGGCACCATCGTCCCCATTTTACCTTTAGGCAAAGTGAGGCACTGGAAGGCCAGCAGCCTGTCCCAGTCACCCCGCTGCTAAGAGGCAAAGCAGGGGTTTGGGGACTGGCAGTCCGACCCACCACTATGATACAACAGCCAGCTAGGAAGTCAGCACTGACAGAATGTGGGAAGGAGACAAAAACCCTATGATGTAAATCTTAAATCTTCAAGCAAGTTTATCTGAGAGCAGAGGTGAAATGCAGCTAGTGTTTACTAGTCTCACACGTGAGTGGCTCTTCCTCAGTTCATCCAATCAAGACTCGTCCTTGGCCCTTCCAAAACAGATTCCATCAGCCAGCCTCTGCAGCCTCTGGGTGCTTTTTGGTCATTATTTCTGTTCCTGTGTGCTTTTATTTCACTGCATTTTGGGGGTAAACTTTTATTGAAGATGTGTGTGTGTGTGTGTGTGTGTGTGTGTGTGTGTGTGCATACACAGTACAAGTGTATGTGTTACAAGTGTATGGCTCACTGACTTTTTACAAACTGATTGCACCCATAGAACAAGCACTGAGATCAAGAAAAAGAACATGGCCAGGACCCCAGAAGCCCTCCTTGTACCCATTTGCACCGTCCCATCTAATACAAGAGATCAATTTTGTTAAAACAACCTATTTGAAAATTACATGAAATTAGCTTTCAGGTTGCGGGTTTGAAATTGACATAGAGCAAAATATAGAGACACGGTCAGAGCAGGATGGTGACTGAGAGCATTTAGAAAGATCTGAACTTGAATCCTGGATCTATCACTGCTCAGCTGTCTGCCTTGTTGAAAAGGACTTACTCTTTAAGCCTTAGCTTCCTTATCAGAAAAAGGAGGTATAATGGGCTAGAATAAGTGAACCGGAATAAACAAAATAGTGTACATAAACCTATTACGATGCCTTGAACAGAGTTATTACTTCCTAGAGCACGTGTTGGCAAACTACAGCTTCCTATTTTATAAATAAAGTTTTATTGGAACAAATCCATGCCGATTCATTTACACTACAAGGGTAGAACTGAATAGCTGGAGTAGAGACTCTCTGGCATGAAAAGTCTATTCTAATATTCACTATCTGGCCCTTGACAAAAGTTTGCTGATCCCTGCTTTAGAATACGGGCCATGTTTGCTGTTGTGTCCACAGGAACTAGAGCAACCTGGTGCATGGTGAGCACTCAGGTAGTGGCCTTTATTTGTAACAATATCTATTTCTTTTAGTTATCATTAACGGGTTTAGGGAATTCTGCAGCTGAACACATTCCTCAACAATATGATAAGGAAACGGTGAAATCACAAAAATCAAGCCTGATAAAACTTGAAACAAGTCAGCCCTGGAGGTACCCTGAAAGATTAATAGGTCTGTAAATGCTAGCAAAAGAGAAGCACCCAAGGTCAACACAAAAGGCACTGAACTTGAGGTCAGAAGAATGGGGTTAGAATCCTAGCTCTGCCATTAGCTAATTGGTTGACCCAGGTGCGGAACAATTCTCGGTCTTGGTACCCTCACCATTGCTAATTTACGGCTGAGAAAAGAACTCCAGCAGGATCGGAACGGGACAAGACTGGAGTCAGGAAAGCCGTTGGGACCCTGACTTATGCAGGCAGAGGTTGCTAGAAATAATGAGAGAACAAATCTTCAAGTGTCTTGAGAATCATTATTTTAACATAAAACAAGTTTATGAAACAACGTTCCACTGACCTTGCTACACTGTATGATAATTATTTGTTTCCTTGTCAACCTTCCTAAGCAGGCTTGTCTAATGACTGGAAACAGTAACTGTTACTTGCTAGCTGTCCCTTCATATCAGGTGTCTTCTGCCTTATGAAGTGTGATGCAGGACGCAGCACTGACACAAAATAATCGTTCGATGCATAACTGAATGTGGAATTAGATGTGGCCCGTCTGTGGTCGTCTGCCACATCAGAAAGAGGACGGGAAGTCAGGGCAGCTTCGAGTTAATATAAGCACTAGAAAACGGCAGAGTGCTTAGAGGTTAGACATGCATCTAGAAAACACAATCTGTGCACATCTTCAGGTGCATGCTCAGTTCCCACCAGCCATTCCCAGACTCTGTGATCAGTCCCAGCCAGCACCATCTCCAGCCTGATTCCACGAACCCCAAACAGCTCTCCTGACTCTCGTCCGATTCCAATCTGGCTACAGTTGTCTTTCTAAGCCATAAATCAGACCATATCACACTCCTTTTATTTTTTTTTCATTTCATTATTTATTTATTTATTTTTGGCCGTTCCTCGCACGCGGCTTGTGGGAGCTTAGCTCCCCAACCAGGGCTTGAACCCAGGTCCACGGCAGTGAAAGCCCATGTCCTAACCACTGGGCCGCCAGGGAATCCCCCCACGCTCCCTTTAAAATGCATTACCAGCTTCCCAAACACATTAGCTCGGTGCAGAACTGTGCTGCCCCATACAAGGGCCGCTAGCTACACGTGACCACTGAGCACCTGAGATACAGCTGGTCTGGCTGTGAGTGTCACATACATATCAGATTCAAAGACTTGGCAGGAAAAAAGTGTAAAATCTGTTATTTGTAGGTTTTGAGACTGATTACATGTTGAAATGATAATGATTTTAGATGTGTTAAATCAAATTAAACAGGATATTAAATTAATTTCACTTTTTAAAAAATTTTTGAACATAACTGCTAGAAAACTTGAAATTAAGTGAGTGGTTCATCTTCTGTTTCTACTAGATAGCAATGGGGAAGAAAGCCCTTCCAGATAGACCTGGCTCCGGTTATCTCTCTCACCTCCATCAGCAGAGCCCTGCTCCCTCACCTCTAAACTTCAGCCTTACCTGCAGGTTTCTGAATAGCCCATTTGCTGTCTGGTCTTTGGGCATATGGTGCCCCCTCTCCCTGGAACATTCTATCAGGTCAACTCCTCCTGGCCTCATAGGACTCTGTTTCACAGTATCTGTGAAGGATTTCCTGAACACAAATGCTGTTTGTTGCTCCCACTGCCCAATGCCCCCGGGCTCCAGTGGACCACCTGCCCCATGTCCTGAACTGGCCACTGACTCAGTCTGATGCCCCACCTGGATTATACATTCTCTCCATCTCACTCCTGTTGGATCCCCAGTGCAGGGGCCAGCAAAAGTTCCAGGCACTCTGTGCACGGAATAGAAATGCAGTCCATGAACTTACACCCTAACAGGGTGTCTCATAAGTGGTAGACTAGGATACAGCTTTAAGAAAGTGCCATCGGCCAAAAGAGAAAAAAGAACGGTACTCTATGTTCTAAATTTGGGGTTCAAATCATTGAAACCTTTTTAAAGAACAACATGACATATTTAGCAAACTTTAAGATGCTCAAACCCATGGACGATGCAACTTCTGTGCCTGTGGATCTGAACTACTGAGAGAAACCCTTGACCATGAATGTAAACATGAACGTATCAGTATGTTCACTGGAGCACCATTTGTAAAAGCACATGATTCAGTACAACCTAAGTATCCCACCCTTTACAGCCAGGGTTGTAAGTTATGGCACATCCATTCAGCAGAACAGCATGAAACTGTGAAAAGGAAGGAAGTGGATTCTATGTGCTGAAGAGGAAAGATGTCCAGGATATATGAACAGTGTGTGGGTGGAGTACAGGGCATTGTGTATTGTTTCCTCACGTTATCGTATTTCAAAAATATGTGTTTGTTGAAACACAACATTGTTAACTATACCCTAATATAAAATAAAATAATAAAAATAAAATAAATGCAACTAACACAACATTGTTAATCAACTATACCCCAGTATAAAAAAAAAATTACGTGTTTGTGTACACATATACACAGACTCTTATCAGAAGGATACACAAGACACCGGTGATGGTGGTTCTTAGAGGGAGAGGTGGAGGGAGATGGTGAGGGAGGACAGCCTGCACTGTGTATTCTCTTTGAACTTGCTAATCATATGCACACATTACTTTCAAAAACAGATTATCAAGGGCTTTCTGGGTACCTTTTCTGTTGTACATTTCCGTATGGCCAAGGAAGGTCCCAATTATTTCCCTCCCCCAAGTCGAACAGACGGTAAAACAGCAACATCCCATGGACGTCACCTACCGTGATCTTCTTGTGGTCGGGAAATTCGAGGCCAAAATAATCTCCTTCCACGAGGTTCAGGTGGCTGCACACCGCATCCAGCAGCACTTTCCCGGGGGCTCTTTGCTGGAAACAGAAACAGTGGGAGTTACGCCCTCTGAGACAGGCAGCTACGGACGCACACCGTGGTTCCCACTACAGGAAGCCTCTTCATGCCCGAGTCTGTAACCGCTCGCCACCAAGCACCGCCACTACACCCTGGTCACCGGCCCCGTGCCCACCACCGATTCCCTTCTCATGCTGCCCTCACACTTAGGTGCTGACCTCTGCCATCTTCTCCCTACCCCAATGCCAGGCACTACCCCCCTTAAAAATAACAGGCAAATACCATATGATATCACTTATATGTGGAATCTAAAATACGAGACAAATGAACTTATCTGTGAAACGGACTCACAGACATAGAGAGCAAACCTGTGGTTGCCAGGGGGGACGGCGGGAAGGAGTGATGGATTGGGAGTTTGGGATTAGCAGACGCAGACTCATATACACAATGGATAAACGACAAGGTCCTACTGCATCGCACAGGGAACCACACTCAGTACCCTGTGATCAATCATAGTGGAAAAGAATATGAAAAAGAATGTATATATATGTACAAGTGAATCTCTTTGCTGTACAGCAGAAATTAACACACCACTGTAAATACTTAATAAATTACAGAAATAATAGACTTTTTTTTTTGCGGTACGCGGGCCTCTCACTGCTGCGGCCTCTCCTGTTGCGGAGCACAGGCTCCGGACACGCAGGCTCGGCCAAGGCTCACGGATCCATCCGCTCCGCGGCATGTGGGATCTTCCCAGACCGGGGCATGAACCCGCGTCCCCTGCATCGGCAAGCAGACTCTCAACCACTGCGCCACCAGGGAAGCCCTAGACTTTATTTTTTATAGCAGTTTTCGGTTTACAGAAACTGAAAGCAGTTTTCGGTTTACCTCTCCCCACCACACCCAGTGCCCCACTTACTAACATCTTGGATTAGTATATGGTACATTTGTTACAATTGTTGAGCCAATACTGATACATCATCATCACTACCCGAAGTCCATAGTTTACACTGGGATTCACTCTGTGCTGTATCGTTCTATGGATTTCAACAAATGCATAATATCACAGAGCCCCCATAACCGGATCACACAGGAGAGTTTCACCAGCCTAAACATCCCCTGTGCTCCCTTCGTCCGTGCTCACCACCCTCCGAACTCCCGGCAACCACTGATTTTTTATTGTCTCTCTAGTTTTGCCTCTCCTAGAATGTCATATAGTTGGAATCGTATAGAACGTAGAAACCAAGCAAGTGTAGAAAGGGAAGATGATATACACGAACCCACTTTCTACCCTAAAGAGCTTAGAATCATATGCCTCGGTTTCTCTCCACTATCTGGTAGATTCCTAACGACCCACTTGCAAAATGGATCCAATTTCACCACACAGATCAAACACCGCAAGAAAAATGTTTCAAGGCAGTGTTGTCTCCAGTTACTGGTTTTATACTTTCACTTCCCCTCTGCTAAGAGCAGAGCAATTTAGGAGCCAATTAGTAACCCAGGAGACTAACTGGCAGTAGCAGTCAGAGCCTGACAAGTACAATGATGGGCACATCCATTAGGCCACCCAACAGCGTGACCTGAGGGGCCAGCAAAGATGCTTCTGTGTCCAGCGATAAAGCATCTTTCTTTTCTTTTTTTTTAAACAGACACCACTTTGTGCTCCCATATTCCTCATGGTTGAAATCCAGAAGATATTCAGAGTTATCTAAGGGTATGTGGTAGTCTCCATGGATAATCCCAAACTCACCAGGCTCTAGACTTTGAATGCCTGGTCCAAGGGTCACCAGGAGGGTCGTTTCACTCGCCCTAATGGCAGGACTAACATGTAATGGTATGTAAACCCCGTCCTTGTCTGTCAAACGTATCCCCCCAATACCCCAGCACACACACCCCTACGTTTACCCAGTGTTAACAGCTGAACGGATTACTGGTCCAATCTTATTTCCCACTTCTTTGTCAAAGCAATGCACCCTCAGTCATGCTGAGAGCACTTGGGAATTCACCAGCCAGGGTCACGGTGGGGGGGGGGGGTCTTGAGTTCAATTCCTCACCCCTGCCTCCATAGAACTGTATGAATAACTTACGCATGGCTACTTGTTCGAGGTCCTCTTCTCTGGCCAGTAAAATCTGCAGAGGCTAGCTAGTAAGAACATGATAGAAACGGGCCAGGTGCTAAGAAGTTGTGGAAGAATTCCTGTATCATAAGATTTTTTTTTTTTTTTTTTTTGCGGTACGCGGGCCTCTCACTGTTGTGGCCTCTCCCGTTGTGGAGCACAGGCTCCGGACGCGCAGGCTCAGCGGCCACGGCTCACGGGCCCAGCCACTCCGCGGCATGTGGGATCTTCCTGGACCGGGGCACGAACCTGAGTCCCCTGCATCGGCAGGCGGACTCTCAACCACTGCGCCACCAGGGAAGCCCCATCATAAGATCTTTTTAAGAGAAGACCACATTCCAGTTTCACAATTCTTCTTTCTCACCATTCTTGACATTTCCTATTTGTTACAAACTGAACCACCAATTATCTGACCAGCTGGCAAGCACTCACGTCTCCCAGAGAATTCCTGGAACTAAGTGAATTTGATAACTTCATCTAGATTTACAGAGTCTGGGAAATGAGACTTTACAATTCAACGCTGGAAGTCTAAACAAGTAAAAAATCAACATACAATGGATGCCTTTATGGAACGATGTTCAACTAAGCACTTCATGGAACACCCCGAGGAGAGGTAGAGTTACCCTCTGAATCAGGTCCTTTACTGAGTCAGCAGAGATTTTTGTGATTTTTGTGACTGAGCATATCTTGGTAATAATAAGAAGCTGGAAATAGATGCTTGGAATCTAGTTAATATAGAAGCCTGGTCCCAAGTCTTAAAATTTTCCTAAAATTTATTATTTTGTACAAATCTTTGATGCAAAAATGACTTTTCAATGGGACCCAAATTTTTATATAGGGAGAAGTTAGAGTTTGAACGATATTATATAGTTCCTAAAATTCATCTGTAAAATAGATGTCTTTAATGCATTATATGAATTGTCCTGTGAACACTGGCTATCTTCAGGGGTATAAGGAAAGCCAGCATGTAGAATCACTAGAAAGTATTTATAAGGGTTGAAATGCAGTCACTAGATGACAATTTCATGGGTAAACAGACACGGCATTAAGTTCCCAATGTACACCAGGCAGCTATGGCCTAAAATGTTCCTAGATAGACTTCACGATACCGAAGTTCAGGGACACCGTTTCCCTTTCTTTTAGGGGTTGGTGTAGAAACGTCTGGGTTTAATCAATGCACCCAGGGCTGAATTCCGCTTCAGAGAAACCATCTCAGAGAAGGGAAGCAGGAAGAGTTTTATCCACATTCTTTAAGAAAAATTATCCCTTCTTTCTTTCCAACAGTGGATTCACCCAGTCCACAGCATCGTTTCTTTACACTTGCCTCCAATGAATTTTTTGAACTTCACATTAAAAGTAATTCTGCTCAAAATTCACACCACAGGATGGTGGCAATGGTTGCACAACCCTGTGAATGTACTTAATACCACTGAATTGTACACCGAAAAATGGTTAAAATGGCAAATCTTTTGTTGTGTTCATTTTACCAAAATTTAAAAATGCATAAAAAAAGACCAAAAAAAAAAAAGTAACTGAGGATGGTGTTCACATCTACATACAAATGACTGAAGAGAGTTATTCACAATAGAATCTGTTTAAACTATTTTTAAGAACAAGAAAATCAAGAATCCACTTCCTTTACATTAGATCTTCGAGAAACACTGAGGGGTAGGACCCAGTTCAAGTTGAGCGGCCGTGAAGAGCTGTATCACACGGGGAGAATGAGTGAATGTGTGTGCGCTAAAGGGCTGTTAATATCTCTCAGCACAAAAGGTTCTTTTACGTGTCTGGCGAAAAAAAAAAGGCATGATATGAACATCGTTGGAAGTAACCACAAATTATGCACCTGGGGCAGGCTTTGCACGAGACAGATGATGGGGTTCAACAGCTACAAATCCACCAGCCCTTTGTTGCTAAAACAAACCTATAAATGAGGCAATAAAGTCTGGATGTGGGGAAAGGTGGCAACACCGTAGACTAGGCTGGCAGAACACAAAGAGGAGACGCTCAGGAAAATTCATCTGTAAACATACTTTCTCAAAGAGTAACTTACTTTAAGATACACACACACACACACATATTTATGGCTGCACAAATTATCATACACGAGGAAGGAAAAATCAAATCACTTAGGCTTCATCTGAAAACCTGTATCTGTTAGAAATCGTTTAACATGAAAGGGACCTCATGATGAATGTTTTTCAAATTGTCCTCAAGTGTTTGTACTGGGCTGAGGGGGGCAGATCTCTGAGACTCCCACACCCTCTAAGAAACTAAGAGTCTGGCTGACCCCGCACATGGCCAGTCTTGATTAAAATAGTCCAGAAGTGAAGAAACCAAATAGTAATTATATGTCATATTTTGGAGAACAAACTGGTGATTAGTAAAACCACATAAGCAAATTTTTGTCACTTTTTTCTTACTGGCTACTTTAAATTATGCTCCAAGAGACATCTGAAGTTTAATCTAGTGCACAAATAAGGCGGCTGAACGCTCACTGTGCGTCCCCACTGCTTTCTCCATTTTGAAGAGGCTTTTCATGGAATCCTATAAAATTAAATTTTAGGAGGAGGTTTACATTCTTGGGGAGTGTCTGGCAACTAAGTACTGAATAATGAATAGTATGAACATTCACACAGAGCTTCAAGCTATTAAAAACTGTGAATCAAAGTCCTTTTGGTTTATTGTGCCTTTAAAATATGCCTATGTCTTCAGGTTATTTCTATTACATCAAGTTTTATGAGGAAGTATTTTTCTTTTTCCTCTAAAAGAATAAAGACGATTCTTTCTAGGTTGGGGGTGCCTTCTACACCCTCTCCCCACCTCGTCAAAGGGTCTGAACAAAGGAGTCACCCTACGTGATACAGCTAAGATCTGCCTTGCTGAAATAATCTCATAGACGG